CGACTCCGTCAATGGACAGAGTCGCAACTGAGGAAAATTATACTGAGAGGTGCCGGCCCTGGGGAACAGCGCCCTCTCATTGAACTAGAGAGAGGGATCGGTGCTCGTAACGAGGCCATCTCAATCGACGGTTGCGGAGGCTTGGGTATTTTTGTTTCTAGCTGTACGCGCTCGGGCTCTCCACATTAAACCGACCTTGCGTCACAACCTGACCTCGTTTTGAGTAAATACAAAAACAAACAAACAAACAAACAAACAAACAAACAAAAAACAAAACACAAAGAAAAAAAAACCCTAAGTTTTGCCAATTAAAGTCTCCACTGACGTAAAAAATTGCTTCATCAGTAAATTTGGATCATTCACACAATTCCATCGGTAAACAAATTTATGGCCCACCTATATATATATATATATATATATATATATATATATATATATATATATATATATATATATCCCAGTATATGATTGGTGTATACAGAATAATATAGATTAATATAGATTAAATTTACATTTTTGAAATGGGTAGTTTTTAATTTTAATTTCAAATTTTATCGTACAATTTAATACTTATTAGTTAGAATAAATTCTATTTTAGTATAAACCTAACATTAAGGCATTAAATAGTTATTATAACCTTAGTTCGTTGTCAAGTTTTTTGACTTCTCGTATACTTGTATTTTGATTGGTCATTTCAGCTCATGTAATAGCGTTTCCACTTACGATGGGTGGTTAATTAATTTGAACCTTTTAAAACCTTTATTCTACATTCAACATCATCACATGATAAGACACCAGAGGTGTTGAAACAAAATGGCTATTCATGTAGTGATTTTATAAGATATTCATGTTATAATTTTCGAATAAATAATTATATATATATATATATATATATATATATATATATATATATATTCTCAATGAAATTTTTTGGTTTGAAAGATAATTCTCCAGTGTCGGTTCTTAGTCCCAATTGTTGACGACAATGGCTCTCCACTACTTCCTGTCCATTACAACTCTTAGCAACGTTTTACTATTTACTATCTCTTCTTGAATATATATCTTTCATAAAAACTTTAATAAAAATATTTTAAATTATTAGAATACTCTTGTTTATTATTATTCTATTCCCTTTTTCGGGCCACCCCTCAGTCAAAATGTTACCCCCCCATTTGGGGTGTGCCTCAGTTGCATCCAAATGTTGTTACTAATATTGATTTTGGTGTGGCCGACTTTAAACTTAAACTCCTCCAACTGAACGGCAAAAATTCCCTGTAATGAAAGACCCGGTCAAAGACGAGTTATACTGCTAGTACATAAGGCAATACTTAAATGCATCGATCATGTGAGTATGTCCGAAAGGCAATACTTAAATGCATCGATCATGTGAGTATGTCCGAAAGGCAATACTTAAATGCATCGATCATGTGAGTATGTCCGAAAGGCAATACTCAAATGCATCGATCATGTGATATATCCGAAAAGGCAAATAAATGCATCGATCATGTGAGTATGTCCCACAGCGGTAAAAATATAGGGAAATGATGGAGTCTTCAAGTATATTTACTTGTAGTAAATTGATTGAGTAATATTCTTAAAAACTCTATTTGCATTTTCAACATCTTTTCATATATATATATATATATATATATATATATATATATATATATGGCCTGACGATTGCATCTAGCATGAAACAGACTGTTTCCTTTAAGTGTTGACTTTTATGTTCACTTTTATATTTACATACGCTCTATCTCTGATATTGAGCACTTTATCCCATAAATATAGCACATCTTAAGACTATATTTCTTTATATATATATATATATATATATATGGGTTGGACAAAATAATTGGAACACTTGTTAAATTCAAAGAACATTTATTTAATATGGAATTGGTTCTCCTTTAGCCTCACAGACAGCTTTAATACGTCTAGGAATGGAATCATACAGCTTCCTGACTTCATCCAGAGGAATTTTCACTCATTCTTGCATTAACACCTGCTCCAGCTTTTTAGGACACGACGGTGAAGGATTGTGGCTCTTAACTTGTTGCTCCAAAATGCACCACAAATGTTCAATAATATTGATATCTGGAGATTTGGGAGGCCACTCCATGTGTTCTAGCTCAATTTCATGCTCTTCATACCAATTCTTAACCATTCGAGCGGTATGTATTGGAGCTTTATCGTCTTGGAAGATGCAGTCACCATCAGAGAATAAAGTCTTGGCTATTGGATGAACATGGTCTCCCAAAATGTTCAGGTAATCTTTGCTGTTGATTCTACCATGCAGGGCAACTATTTGACTGAGACATTTTCATGATATGGAGGCCCAAACTATCACTGATCCACCTCCATGCTTCATTGTTGGAAGAAGGCAGTTAAGGTTGTAAGCTTCTTTGGGCTGCCTCCACACATAAACTCGCCCTGAAGTTGGAAAAAAAAGAAAAACTAGACTTGTTTGAGAATATGACTTCCTTCCATTGGCCTGCAGACCAGGCATTGTGATCTCTGCACCACTTCAACCTCTTTTGAATGTTGCGAGTGGAGAGAAGAGGTTTCCTCACAGCGGCTCTTCCATGATATACAGCCTTATGGAGCTCACGGTGAACAGTTTTAATAGAAACTGGACTATTCAGATGGTTATTCAACTCAGCAGTCACTTTGGCCGCATTTGTCCGATGATTTTTTTGACACATTGCGTTTACAATGCACGTCAGTCCCGGTCAGTAAGTTTGCAAGTCCGACCCGAATTGCTATGGTTGCTAGAGATTTTGCCCTGTTTCTCGAATTACGTCATAGTTCTTGATATGGTAGCTCTTGAAAAACCAAACAGTTCAGCAACCTTAGTGATCAAGGCTCCTGCCATGCAAGCTCCAACAATTTGCTCTTTTTCGAACTCGGAGAGGTCACGCATTTAACTTAAATTTTACTAAATTCTAAAAACAATTAAGACAGAGACAGAAAAATAGATAAATAAACGTATTTACAATAGATATTACCTGCAGTTACGAAGTTTTAGTTAAAGTTCTTAATATAATAGGTTTTGAAATATAGGAGTGGATTTTGCAACTGTTCAATTATTTTGTCCAACCTGTATATATATATATATATATATATATATATATATATATATATATATATATATATATATATAATTTTATTATAATCTCTTTATAATAAAAATATAATAATATATTGCTCTACTTTGTATTGAACAATTTTTAAAAGAAAATGTTACGAACAGTGGATTTTATCCCATCTGTTCTTTCTCTCATTTGTATATATATATATATATATATATATATATATATATATATATATATTTTTGAATTTGTAGGTCTGATGATTTGGTTCGTGATTACGATTCCAGTGTAATAAATTATGACCATGGAATAGTGTTTTGAGCCTTTTATATTATATTCTTACTATGCCTGAACATTGAGTTCTATCTGGATTCTACCCTCTTGGGAATTTATATATATATATATATATATATATATATATATATATATATATATATATATATATATTACACTAATATTATCAATCTCTCTCTCTCTCTCTTTCTCTTCTTCTTATTATATATATATATATATATATATATATATATATATATATATATGTGTGTGTGTGTAGTGTGAATTCTAGCAGTGTTTATTACAGGTACTTTTGCATAAATAATAAATAAATAATCTCTGTAGATATGTTATTATATTCATTATCTATCTATCTATCTATCTATCTTTGTAGATATGTTATTATATTAATTATCTATCTATCTATCTATCTATCTATCTACTCAGATTTATCTTTCTGTCAACACATAAAAATAATTTTGCATTATTTACCCATTAACAGACTGTTTCACACATTTTTCATTTATTTTGGGCTTTGATAGCCTTGTTAATATCTGTTAGTAGGTAAATACTAAAAAATGTTATTCTTATGGCTATTAAAAAGTTCTTTTAAAAGCATTTAAATTATAGTACTCTTAAATGTAGGCATAAGAAAAGCGATATACATGTGTGTGTGTGTTTGTGTGTGTGTGTGTATGTGTGTGTGTGTGTGTGTGTGTGTGTGTAAAACAGTTGGTTGATCTGACATCTCGAAACCTTCCCATAACATTTGAATTACATCGACAATTATAGATATGAACAAAGTGACAAAGAGAAACGTACGCACAGACACACACGCACGCGCGCACACAGAATAAAAAGAACAATGGTGAAAAAGAAACAAAGACAGATGTCAAAAAAATGGTTGCTCATATCCATGTCATGCTTTATAGAAGGAGATGCAGCTGAACCTTTTGATAATAAAATAGGAATGAATTGATTGAAATCAGTGAATAAAGTAGATAGATAGATAGATAGATAGATAGATAGATAGAGAGAGAGAGAGAGAGAGAGAGAGAGGGGGGGAGGATTCGAAGAGTTGATGGATACAGGAATTTTATTACCGACGAAGAAAACAGAAATAAAAAGATTTGCGAGATATTTGGCTGGAGTTAAGACAAAATTTACAACAGGATAATTTCAAATGAAAACTACTATCTATCTATCTATCTATCTATCTATCTATCCAGTATGTATGTATGTATGTATGCATCTATCTATCTATCTATCTATCTATCTATCTATCTATCTATCTATCTATCTAGTATGTATGTATGTATCTATCTATCTATCTATCTATCTATCTATCTATC